GATGGATTGGCTTTTGTGGCTCGCAGTGCTATGTCGGTGGCGCTGCGCAGATCCTTGGATGCCTCAGGATCAGGTCCAGCTTGGCCGGCGGCTGCGTATGCGCGACCGGCGAGAGCTGAGGTAGATCGGCAAGGCTTCGAGGGATGAGAAGCTTTGGCTTTCCATCCAGCGGTGGAGGGTGGGCACAGGTGATTGGCCACAGCCTCCTCGAGGGGCGGAGTCCCCTCGTAGCCTCTTTCTTTCGCGCCGTCCACAGAGGAGAGCGACGAAGAGAAAGAAGGCTTCAGGCGAGCAGAGTGCGGGGCTTTCCACGACTTCGTGAGTTCGTCGTGAACTTCCGGGAAGAAAGGGGAGGGCCTTTGCCGAGGAGCCTGCCGGCGCCCCTGCAGGAGCCACTCGTCCAGTCGGCTGCGGGCGGGTTCTTCCGGGGAAGACCAATCGAGCCCGAGGTCTTCCACGGCCTTAGACAGGATGCGGACGATCTCCGAGTCCATGCTGGAGCCCACGCTCGTGCCCGCTAACGTCGATGGCGCGGGGTCGAAGGACGAGCCCGGCCAGTCGTCGGATGCAGCATCAAAGGAAAGGCTGTCATCCTTTTCGTCGTCATCCCCTGACGCGCCAAACGAGACGAGAACCATCGCTCTGCTGGAGGGGTGCTGGTCCGCCTAAGTGAACTGGACTGGCGGCGGGGAGTCTTCGGGTGGTGGTGAGCGCGTGCTCTGGCGGCCTCTGTGAGCTGCGCTTCTTCTTGCGCGGCTCGACCAGAGGGGATGGTAGCACGGTGGTGGTGGGCTCTTTCGCGGCGAAAGCGGCGAAGCGAGCGCGCAGCTCGGTGAGGCCCAGGCCGTCACACTCGGGGCATCCGCCTCGAGTAAGGGCAGCCTCTGCGTGGTCCGGTCCCAGGCAGCGGGTGCAAATGATGTGACGATCCCCGTCCTGAAGAGGGCCTCGACACGAGGCGCAGGAAGGCATTTGAAACAACGCCCAGTTAATTTGCTCTTTTAGAAAAGTGTCGCGGGGGCGAACACTGGTAGCTTTGAAAGGATATAGGTAATGTGCGCCGGATGGCTTAGCAGAAGGCGATCGAAGGCGGCTGAAGGCGCCGGCGTCCTCATAGCAGTCCTGCTGTAGGCTTGTCGATGGCGAGTGCGAAAAGACTCCAAAAATCCGGAGGATCCAGCGAAGAGAAGGTCTTTGCTGAAGGAGATTAAATCTAAAGAACTCAGAAGACGGGGCGCCCAATATATAGCCCCCGGGCCACGCCCATCTTGGCGGGCTCTGACGCGCGCGGGCGCGAAGCACGCTCATTGGAAACGGGTTCAGAGTCGCCCCGTCATAGGTTCGTGCAGTTGCCGCAGCACAGCCAATGACCGAGCTGCCTCACTCATTGCTGTATGCTGTGCAGCTGCAATGCGTTTTACATAAAGACTTCAATATTTCTCGAGAAAAGGGGTTTTCCCATAGCGTAAGCTACTTACGCAATAGGAGGAACCTCTCGAAAGGGAACCGGGGGTTTTGCCTTGCGACGTCAGAGTGTGCGCCCGCGCTGCGCCGTTATCCGCCTAGGGGAACCTGTAATAACTTCTGTTAGGCTTCTGATTCGCCAACGTGGCTGTACGGTTAGGGTTATATCGCCGCCTGCTGGTGTGGCATGCTCTTGACAGCGTTTGATAGCGTGTTTTTTGCGTTTTCATGTGGACGGGATTTTTTTTTAAACGCAAGAGGAAAAACTTTATAAAAATACCCGTGTCCGTGTGGACAAGGCCTGAGCCATGAATTTCTGGAGGTCTATGTAGTCATGATAACAAGGATTAATGGGAGAATATATGTGTACTGTATATGTGAATATATGCCTATATTTGGTCATTAGGTCCAACTCTGTTGGCTCATGTAGTGCTATCTGCCATTGTAGTTGGGGAAAGGCCCACCTGAGAGTTTTCCACTTTACAGGTCAAACAACTCGAGGTTTGCCAAGATGAAGTCAGTAATAAGTCTGTGCATGGCACAGTCCCTTTGGCAGTCACACAGCAAAGATATCAGCTGCACAGTAGGGTTGTGCCGATTGTGTATCAACGATAGTCAGAGATATCACTGATGGCTGATGCCTTTGACAATATGATGATGATGATGATGATGATGATGATGATGATTATAATAATAATTATTATACAATTAATTTGCCCTTCTGTAATTTGATAGCGACATCACCGCATTGTGGCACAGACACGTGCTTATGAGGATTGAGGACTCCTAAATGAAAATGTTTTTAAAACAGGCTACAAACCTACATCCCACACACACACACGTGCCATTATAAATTAAGTACTTGGTACACGCATCATTGTTATGAAGTTGTTGTTTGAGCCAAGACAAAAAAAAAGCATTGTTGTTCATCTACTACATTTTGATTTTGATAAATGAGAATCACAACTAATTCTCTTGAGCTTAAAAAGAGCAACCTTTGAACAATAAAATATTCCTAAAATGGAGTCTTGAAAGATATTGCAGCCAGACAATAAATATATGTTATTCCCACCACATTCTCAGCTTTAACTCCTTTTCTCTCAGATATGTGTCTCATGTCTCATTTATGTCTCCTCTTATTTCTCCTAAGGAATATTAGGAGAAACATCCGAAACTCTGGAAAAGCAACCACTGAGCAATAAATCTTTCCTCTGGGATGTGCCGTTAATTCAGTGATAGATTCCGAAAGCACGGTCAGTTTTTGCTTCCATTTTCTGAAGTGAATAATGGACTGTGATTTGAGACTCCTTCACCGGCATAACTCTCATGGAAAGTTTGCAAATTTCCTGTGTGATATCCACAGGCTTACCTTTTGGGTGAAATTATTTCTATGCGACGTGACATCTTTCTTTATCACCAACTCCATCTTTGCTCGCAAAATGATAGAAATGATTTTAATTCCCCACGATATTAAAACTAAGAAAATAATTAAATAAATGAGTAAATAAACAAGTAAATAAATAACTTAAGTATCAATTAAGTAAACTATTGCCCTAGACTATGACTAAGGAGCATATCACCCAACACTACTACACAATAGGGCCTGCGACCACACATGAGTACATACGCTAAAAAGAGAGGTTTCATGAGCCTGCATGTTATAATAGCAGCGACTCGAACATACTAACTCTACAAAGAGGTATTATAGTTCTATTGTATTTCCCAGTTCTTACACAGTCTCTCCCTAAATCTCACACACACGCACACACACACACACACACACACACACACTCGTACAAGCCCACAAAATCCTCTCATTCTTCTTGCTGTCTCGGCAGACAAACCACAGAGTGTTCATTTTTGAGTAGGTTCACAACTCCGCTGATCCAGGCAGCCATGGTTTGTAATTCTGTATAGACAGCATGTGTGGCAGATGCTGTTAAACAATGACTAATCAGCTGGGCAAATAAAGTGCTGTGACCTCATGCTTGCTAGCTAGTACACCTGACCATCTGAGTAAGGCCATTCACACGAAAGAAAGAGAAAGATAATTTGAGCCAATGAGTGAATACAACAAATGTGACCAGTGCTGGCAAAATGAGTCAGAATGTGCACGAGACAAAACAAGTGAAAAATGTCAATTTGGTCGAATTTGAGGTTTTCACAAAAATTAGTCCATCAAGCCCACATCTAGTGATCCCAATGCTCCAAATAGTAATTAAATACATTTTCTGAGAGGTGTGCCAAATATTTCCTTTGTTTTTAATAATCCATGAAAAAGTGCAGTTTTTCTCTGTTCGTTTCTCGACGACGGGTACTTCCCCTCAGCACAAGTTTGGTATCATTGTAAATCCCAGCATTCAAACTTTGTGAACATTTATAGTAAATTATTGATGGCATGAGTCTAAACCAATGAATTTCGAACTGATGCTGTTGTTAACAAAACAATCTTACTAGCGCTGACTGACACGTCCGAAGCGTGTGCACAAAGACGCCACTCAGACTGCGCGCAATCCCGATATACACATTTACACAGAATTACAGTACTTAAAAATATCTCTCTTAGCGAGTATTCACACAAAAATGATCAGTTATGTCTTAAATTAACCTTTGGCTAACTGTTAGGGAAAAACATCTGATGTGTAACTATATTAGATCCGTGCATTACAGTAGGTCTTAATAAAGGCTGTCTGTCTCATTAATGTCAATCGAACAATTATGTTATCATTGGAAAAAAGTTGAATATACTGTATATTTTATCTGTATACATTTTGACTTGGTGTGTGCCAAATTTGATGTTATTACCAGGGATTGTAAGGTGTGGTTGCTAGGTCATTTTGTTTTGGAACCTTCAGAAGACTTTAACTCGATTTATCTCAAAATTTACTTTGCTGACTCTATCGACTTCAAACAGGTGTAGCCCAGCACATAATTTTGAAGGTAATATAGAATGTGAATATATGTATTATAAATATAAAAGTAACAATAACTCATTTTTTGAAAATGTGCTCATTGTGACTCGATCATTTTGTCAGCATGGATCACAAATGTACACCAAGTTGCTGAGAATCAGAGACAACTTGATTTTTACATTTTCTCAAGAAAAAATTAGTGGACTGTAACAAAGTGCTCATTGTTAGCCAATGCATTAACTAATGTTCATTAACTAATGTTCATAACGTGCATACAACCAGTTCATTTAGATCCCTATGAACCAAAAAAAAGAAAAGAAAAAGGGTGTTCTAGGTATACAATTGTCAAAACAGCCCGCCCCAAAGTCTCAATGATATTCAGGTCCATTGATAAGGCTTACATCCTTCCTTCAATGCAGGGCTGGGAGTAATAGCAAGCAGCCCAGTTTGTGGTATAATTCATGTCTGTAACACAGGATTAGTTATGCACCAATGTTTAATACTTTCTGTAGGGGTTGTTCATATTAAAAGCAATAGTAATAGTGTTCCTTGCATCAGCGTTAAAAGAAAAAAAAACATAATGAGAAAGAGGATCACAATAAAAGACATCAGAGAATTGCTCACCACGGTGAAGTTCATGACTTTTAAGATCCAGATGGTCAAAGCTAGGTTGACGATCATGGTGACGAGGAGGAGGAGGATGAAGAAATAGAGACAGCGCTTTCGCCAGCCATAAATCCCCACAGGGTACACAGTAGCACATCCCGGTCTTTGGAGGGGGTTCGGCTGAGATGCCAGGATGTACTGCTCCTGAGTCATCTAGTGAGAAAGAACAGAAAGAGATTTGTTTCAGGTTTTTTTAATATCTTAATATTCTTTCGAGCACTTGCGGTGGCTCACAGGAAAAACAAATATATAAAAATAAAACAGCAACAACTTCCAATGCGCATTAAACAAAAACTCTTTAGATGTTGAATAAATGCACTGTTTCATTGACCTTTTCTTTGATCCAATTATTTTCTGTGCTGTTTATCTCCTTTTTGTGTAAGAGAATCATGTCAATAATTTCCAATGCATTATTAATTAAGCACTGTTCAACTAATTGACAGTGAAACAACATAGAAAAATGGTTCTGGTATAGGAATGTAAAAAAAGTAAGATACAAACAAAGATGAAAGATAATGGAAACAAAAGAATATTTAGTAACACTTTATTTCAATGGTCCACTTTAGACACTCTACTAACTCGGCGCTTGGACACACAAACTGGGGTATTCAGAGAATCGGATCTGTCGGATTTACGTAACGTAAATTCATCCATTTCTCTGGAATTACATAAATGATAGTGGCCCGTGAACTGGGAGAAGAATAGAGTAAACAATGTGTATCTAATATGAATAAAACACAATGCCAAATTATTGCATATCAGCGCAGACATCAATGGGAGGAAGCCATGCCCTACTTTTGAGCTCCCGCCCCATTTTGGAGTTCCCACCCCCATTTGGAGACCTCCGGGCTGCAGCTACAGTATACCTTTCTCCAATCAGGGCTGAAACACGACACCACACCGCTGTCATGTAACAAAGTTGCCACGTTCTCTACTGATTACAATAGTAGCGCCATTGATATATTGCACTAGCGAGGCATCTGTGGTCACGCTACAAGTTTGAATGGGCTGAAACTTACATATCTGACAGACGAGATGGCACAAGGTAAAGCTGTTTTTGATGTAACTTTTCAAACGTGAATAAAAACGTGAATTAACTGGAACATTGAGTGATTATAATTCAAAGTGATTTCCGTCATTGTGTGAGACAATACATATTTACCTGGTTTAGAAACATTCCAGTAAACACTCCTTATAAGTATTAGAAGCGCAAACAGGAGACAATTACATTTTTAAGCATCAGTGTGAAAACAAACCTGAAAGAGATGTGAGGATTCAGGGAGAAAAGTGAGAGACTCTTAGTGCATTCCAGTGAATTATTAATGGAATATATCATAAATTAAATTGGGACAAATGTGCAGTATATGTTATCCTTTTTTATTCAGTTATAGTGGAATTCAAAGGGGGAAAAAATAATAATGAGGAAAGGAATGCAGCGACTGAAAAGAGCTCTTGCCACAGGTATTATTGTCATACCACATCACAAAATACAAGCGTTATGTTATTCTCTTGAAGTCTGAACATAAGAAGATGAAGGAAATTGTATAGCTCATTCAATCAAACTGATGGATGATTTAAAAATGTTTTGTTTTAGTCAGGAAAAGGTGGATATATATATCATAGATTTTACAGTCCATTTTCATTATTTAAAATTAAAAACCTTCAATATCAGGTCGACTGACCCAGAAATGGTTGTTTTTAACCCAGCATTTTTAGAGTGTGTAACTCTCCAACTATAAAGTATATCAACAAGCAGTCATTAGAGTATTAGTAGACTGTCTGCTTAGTATCTGCTAACACTTTATTTTGATGGTCCCCAACAGACATTCTACAGACTATAAGTAACTTTGCAACCACGTCAACTTATTCTACGAACCCAACCCCTAACGTAACAGTCAATTAGCAGTCCACCACAGTCTACTAATAATCGAATTAGTTAGTTGACATATAGTTGCAAAGTTACTGATAGTTAGTAAAATGTCTAAAGTGGATCATCAAAATAAAGTCTAATAAAAGGTAAAATAAAAGTCATAAATGAATGAAACAGTAACAGGGAGAAACGGCAATTGTATCATTATCAAATTATCATTTAGAATTTATAACAAAAAATCATACAAAACAAATAATCAAAGCATCACAGTTTCGACACAAATATGAATCATATCTGTTTTCAACATTGATTATAAGAAATGTTATTTGAGCACCAGATCAGCACACCATGATTTCTAACGGATCATGTGACATTGAAGACTGGAATAATTGATGCTTAAAAGTAAGCTTTGTCAAATTCAAATTCAAATAAAAAATAAATGAAAGAAAATCTGATTTGTGAGAAAAAAAAGTCGCAATTATCTTTTCAATTTTTTTAGTCCATGGCAGAAACAAGCTTTCATACATAAGAGACTACTTCAAAAACATTAAAAAATCTTACCGATGCCAACATGCTAAAGGAAAACTGGTTTGAAATCTCCTGAGTGTGTGGGGTGTGCGGTTGCTGAATATGTGGTGTGTTGTACATATAAATTGTTAACTCGGCTCCACCATGATTACGATGCTACCTTAGAAAATGGCTGCCTATACTAGACAGTAGGAAACAAGGCAGCTCAGACAAAAAAGCTTTGGTATAGTGATACTGAAAGGGGGGCAAGAAAAAAGTGGACACAATTTTAACTTCTTCCACAAGCTCCATCTGTCAGTCACAACTTCATTTTGCTTTTTAATTCACAGTCTCTCAGCATGCTTCGGCTCAACTAAAGATCTCAAGTACATCCTCTCAGAAACCTCCCCAACCTCTCCGTAACCTCAAAACTCCCTATAGCCAACTCTCCTGCTCCGTCTTCTCAAACTCCCCCCACACACTCTTCAACAACTCTCAAATCTCCTCCACATCATTCACACATACAAATAAAATGTTCCAATTAAAGTAAAAAGGGTTTTGCAGCCCAATGTCTAAAAAGAACCCTTTTTCTCCCAATTCAACAAAGGACTTTTTATTTTATAGTTCTTTAGAAATCCGGTGCTATAGAGGTACGTTTTCCTATGTTAAAATACTTTCTCCTATCTCAGTTGTGCAGAGACAACTATGTGCAGAGTAGACCATTCGAAGGTTGACTTCCAGAAGAATATAAACACTGTTACTCTTTCAAAACATTGTTCTGTTTGTTCAAGCATGTCCAACTCATTTGGCTCTACCAACGAGTGAAGTTTGGAGACGTTACTAGCTTTGATCCAACAAACGGAAGACTTGGGAAGTTAAAATTAGCACTTTTAGCACACTCAGGTAGCACTTTTTCTGCTGAAAACAAAAACAAAAAAACACGCCTTTGCTGGACTTCCAGCCTGGCCTATTTGTTGGTCTTAAGCTGGTCTAACTGATCTCCCCACTTTGCTGATGTTTAGCTGGATAGTCAGCTGGTCTCCAAGTCTGACCTGCTACAGTATAAGTACTACTCAAAACCCCTCGAAAACCAGCTGAAGTAAGTCAAGCTGCAAAGAAACACTGAAGAAGTAGAGTGAACTGCTTAACAGATCAAAATGCCATGCTTAACTCCAAAACAGTGCATATATTTATTTAATTAAATCAAGTCTTTCTGATTTGATAACCTCGCTAAGTCATATCGCAATTACCGTTTTACTTTGATTAATCGTGTAGCCCTAGAGTGTCCCTCAACCGCATCTGAAGCTCCTCTTCAAACTCTTCAGTTGTGATAAACATCTAAACCTGCCTGAGCAATAGCCCTCTCTCTTTCACATTGGCATACATGACCTTGCTGCTCCAATTGTGGTGAAGAGCGACCGCGCACATTTTCTACATATTTGTGGCGTGCAAATCGAAGAAAGTGGATTTTAGTCTGTGTGGAGGAGTGTAGTTAATAGTCAGTTTCCACCAGTTTCAACACATGGTTGAAAGAGATCATTCTTTTTCTCTAGCCTCAAGTCCTTATCAGCTATAAATATCGAGGGCGATGGAGAGGGAAATATCGAATAGTTTTCACTTACATTATTTTTTTTTTTTACCTTTCAGTCTCCCACGCATTCTTCAGCGATACCATTTTACCCCATTGTTGTTTCTCACTTTGTTTCTGCCATCCTCCTGTGGCGGTATCATCTTTATATCTCTCACTCCCAGCGCCTTTCATATGTCCACCCTTTTATATCGCTCGGTGTGGTTTCGTACCCACTATACTCCGCCCCTGACCATCCCTCTCTATCTCTCCCTGTCTTGCTCACTCTTTCTCTCTTTGTCTCTCCGGTTCCAATGCATTTCTAAAATTGATCTGACAGAAGAGTGATCCATCAAATGCATGTGCAGCCGAGCCGGACCAGAACGGCACCCTGCCTACAGCCTAACGCTATTAACACGCTCACCAACTACTCACTCGCTCAGATTACATCTCCTTGTTCCAGCAGAAAGAGAGAGAGAAAAAATAGAGAGAGAGATGGGAGGTCAGACAGGCAAACAGAACTACATAGAGATTTTAGTGCAGAACAGGTAACAAAAGTGGAGACTATAAGGCCACTAACCAAGTGAACAAGTTCAGCCACCCCCTAAATTGTATTATCTAATAATTTTCCAGTTCATTCATTCATTCATTCATTCATTCATTCATTCATATTTAACCCGTTTGTTGATGTATACCATTTAAAAATTGATATCTCAACAGGAAGAACTCATAAACATTCACCATCATTAATGTTATGTTTTGCAATGCAGAATAGCCTACATACGACGATTTAAGTTTATACACTATCAAGTTTATGTCTTTATTGATGGTGGTTGTTTTTTGATCATTTATAAAATAAAAATATATTTTTTTTTTTTTACTTTTGAAGCAGAAAACTGCCACAGCCTGCATATCCATATGCCCCAAATTCTTTTGAAAAAATGGAAGCAAAAGACTCTGTCCTGTGTGACATTTTTTTTTTATATAATTGGAGCTATGAGTCATACAAAGCTAATCCACACACACACACACACACACACACACACACACACACACCTTGTAAGGATGTACAGTAGCACATCACCCTCTGTTTTAAACCCTGCTATACCAGCAATACACCAGCAGATTGTGCTAACCTGCCCTGCTAATGATGTTATACTACACTAGACTATATCGGGACACGGTCTGCAGAGACTTCAAAGTCCAGACACTCCTATTTTGGAGTTTG